CTGTTGTTTAAGTGCCCCCCCACTCCCCCCACCCCCAGTCTGTGGCATTTTGTTATAGCAGCCCTGGTACACTAATAGGATATCTGAGACTTACATGTATTTATTTTACTTGTCCTTTGCAGTATTGTCTTTATTAGTCATGCTTAATCCATTCTCTCTCCCAGGGTCTTTGTCAACTTCCAAGGAAAGCCAGCTCTCATAGCAAATGCCATGTTTTGATGTTCCTTCTTTAATAATATTCCGATGAATAAGGGCTTTATGATTTATTTTTCTTGGAGTGTTACTTGGGCCCAGCCAAGGTTCTCATCTCACCTAATACTGTGGCTCATTTATGGATTTGCATATAAATTTGAATATTGCTTTCAATCCCTGGGGTCAATTATTTGCGCCCATGAATAGTTTGTCTCCTCCTTTCTGTGTATGCCACTCTTCCCCTCAAGGGCTGGAAATCTGTTTCCCCTCACCTTGAATCTGGGCTGGCGTTGTGATTTGCGTTGCCCAATAGAACACAGTGGAAGTGATGCTGGTGAGCCCCAGACCCAGTCCTTTCAAGGGGCGGAGTGCCCGTCCTTCCCCTTGAAAGGGAAAAGGCTCAGATGGGGAGCTGCAGGCATGAGGGTAACGGGTGCCTGAAGAGTCCCAGGAGGGAAAGGGAAGCGGCTAGAGAATTGGGGGGAGCCAGAAGACAAAGTGCACCTACTGGGCCTGCTTGTGTGGCCAAGAAGGAACCCGGAAACGAAGCACAGGGCTTTCACGATGGTGGTTTTAATTGGCCTTGGAGCCCTGTTGACCTGCCCTGGATGTTACAAAGTTGGAGCGGTCAGAGCTGGCTGCTGAGGGACTGGCAGGACACAATTGCCTCAGAGAGTCACTGGCCCTCTGGTACGGGACGCTTTCGCCAGGCACTGACTGCCAAATGGGCTCTAGGACATGTATCGCCTCACCAAAGCTCTGGCAGTGAGAGTTACCTCACGCACTGTGTGGTTTGAGTTGTGTGCCCCCAGACTCGCTTGTAGGAGTCCTAACCCCTAGTACCTCAGAATATGATCTTCATTGGAAATAGGGTCACTGCCAAGGTAATTAGCTTAAATGAAGTCATACGGGTATAGGCTGGGCCCCTAACCTGGTATGAATGGTGTCCTTATAAAGGGGGGAAATTTGGATGCAGGCAATGGGTAGATGAATGAATAACCCAATGTGAAGATGAAGAAATAGATCAGGGTAACACAGAAGCCAAGGAATGATGGAGACTTCCAGCAAACCAGCAGGAGCTAGGAGAGGGGCCCAGCCCTCAGAGGGAACAATGCCGTCGGATACCTCCGTGTCAGGCGTATAGCCTCCAGAACTGTGAGATGGTATGTTACCATTGCTGAAGCCCCCCAGTCTGTGGTACTTTTTTTTTTTTTAATGGCAGCCCTAGCAAATCAATACAAAGGCCACTGCCCCTTTGCCCACTTTTTCTCATCTCTGCTGTTCCGGGCAGATGAACCCAGACATAAGCTCATGCCCATGATGAGGGGGGCTGCCAAATGGCCTCACACCCTAATCCAGTTAAAATTAAAATTCTCATTTCCTCAAAAACTTCTGCGAAAGGAGATTTGTTGGGTGTTTTAGGCACAAGGGAAAGGAGTTTTTTTTTTGGCAGTAGGACCTCTTTAATGCCCCTGAAATTGTAGCAGACAGGTTGCTTGACCTACCTCCTTCTAGACCCTTCCAACCAAGAACATGTCTTTCATTATAACAGAGTTTACAGAGAGTTAACACCTCGTGGCTTTTCCTCAGGAAACCTGATTTAACCTAACTGGATTTGGATTGGCACTTGGTTATTCCGATGTAATCATTTGCATGATTTTTAGGGCCGTGATTGTTGAGAGCTGATGTTAGAATCTGAACAGTGGTGTACCCGATGCAGAAATGTTTGGTGCCTTATACAAACAATGACATTGCATGCATTATGCAGTAATAATGGAAATTACATTTGCAGAATAGTTGTGGTGGTAGAACATTCTGAAATACAAAAAGTGGAAAAAGCGCACGGGGAAAGAAACCCATGTTTTATTCACAGCATTTGGCTTGCTCTGCTTGTGGGCTGGAAGTCAGGGAAGAAGTTGATGAGCTCCTTGGTCCTGCGCGCTCCCAGGCTGTGTGATTTAGATCAACCTGCTCAATTCTGATTGAAGGGGAAATTTCCAGTCATTGGAATCAAACAGGGTGGGCAGAGTTATCGTATTTGGAAATACTTTCCACTCCTTTGATAGGAGATAGTATTTTGTAAGTGAAAATTGGATTTTCACAGTAAGCATATATCTGCTATGATTTATCCTACTTTTTTTTTTTTTTTTCTGTTGCTCATAACTTCTGATTGATAGCTTATTTAAAAAATAGGTTTGGGGGACGCCTGGGTGGCTCAGTTGGTTAAGCGGCTGCCTTCGGCTCAGGTCATGATCCCAGCGTCCTGGGATCGAGTCCCACATCGGGCTCCTTGCTCAGCGGGGAGCCTGCTTCTCCCTCTGCCTCTGCCTGCCATTCTGTCTGCCTGTGCTTGCTCTCTCTCCCTCTCTCTCTCTGACAAATAATTAAATAAAATCTTTAAAAAAAAAAAAATAGGTTTGGGGTGGGGGCACCTGGGTGGCTCAGTGGGTTAAGCCTCTGCCTTTGGCTTGGGTCATGATCTCAGGGTCCTGGGATTGAGCCCCGCATGGGACTCTCTGCTCAGCGGGGAGCCTGCTTCCCCCCCTCTCTCTCTGCCTGCCTCTCTGCCTACTTGTGATCTCTCTCTCTCTGTCAAATGAATAAATAAAATATTTAAAAAAAATAGGTTTGGGGGGCTGCCTAGGAGGTTCAGGTCATGATCCCAGGGTCCTGGGATCAAGCCCTGCATGGGGCTCCCTGCTCGGCCTGCTTCTCCCTCTCCCGCTCCCCCTGCTTGTGTTACCTCTCTCGCTATGTCTCTCTTTGTCAAATAAATAAACAAATCTTTAAAAAAAAAATAAAAGTAAGTTTGGAAAAAATATGAAACATATATATACTCTAATTCCCCAATGTAGTTTTTAGGTCAGTTGCAGGCTGATTAGCTTTGCCCTGTCCCTTTAATAGTTTGATATATTGGTCACGTTCAGCATATGTGAACTCACAGAAAACCATGGTAGAAATACATCTCTAAAGATTTTTTAAAAAGTTCTTAGCTATATGAATTGACACAAAATGTTGATTTTGAGTTTTGGATATTTTCTGTACTAATTAGACAATTTTGTAAAGTTTTAATTACATACTTCTTCTGGCAGTTTAATCACCCCAATTCAAGAACATCAAGCTTAAAATTTCAGTGATTAAACAAAGTCAAGAAAGTGGCAGGGCAGCAGGGATGAAGACAAAAAGAGTGAGTTAATTCTTTTGTGTCCAATTCGTAAGAATCATCTTAGCCTCAGGCATGTTTGCATGAAATCTGCCTTTGTTCAGTTCCTCTCAGAAAAGAAAGGAGTTTTTGGTTTTGTTTTTCATTTTACTTTTTCTCTTTGAGTTTGGACAGGGTGGTTTACAGATATCTAGATGATTCTGAGGCCTCTTGGTATTCTCGGCGTGTTACCATCACTCTTTCCCTGGTGGACCACGGGGAGCTACCATCCAAGGGAAGATAATGAAAGCAAGCATCTCCTTTGGGATGTCAGGACACTGGACAAGGACCATTTTCCTGGAGCAGTTATGTCTAAATCCTGTCCATCTTCTCCTCCACCCAGCTCTTGAAATCTCACAGGCCATGTTGGGAGCCCAGACTCATTTTTACGAAAGCCTCGTCTACATATAGGGCTGTTTCACGGAGATTACGTATGTAGAGAGTAATTCTTTAAGCTGTAAAGTGCTCTGCAGATGTAAGCTGGGGATATTGATAACAAGGCTTCTACTCACGGGCCCTTATTCACTCTCATTTTCTAAACCAAAAAGCCTTTTAGGGAATCCGAGTTGCCTCGTAAACCTCTTGTGGGTTTATGGGGAGTGAGCATCATGGAGTGGGTAAGAACAGGGGCCATGTGGACAGACTCATTCCCATGTCCCCGTAGCCTCTCCAGCTGCGTGACTGGGGACGGGTTCCTCTCTGAGTCTGGTTTCCTCAATTTCAAACAGGGATCGCAACAGAGTCAGGCTCGCAGAATCATTGAGAGGAGTGAATGGATATTGCAAGCGAAGCACTTTGCGTGGTGCGGGGCGCACACAGGCGCTCAGTAAGGAATTAGCTTTTGTTGCTCTCTGGAGGCATTTGGGGTTCTGTTATTCTAATAGCAGAGCCGGGAAAAATGAGCTGATTCTCCTAACTTAATTAATTGCAAAATCTCTCCTAGCCTACTCTTCTCCGTGTATTTCATCTTACCTGGGATGTGAACTTAGGTTCATTAAATGAATAGAGAATGGTGTTGCCTTTTTTCCTCCCTGCCTCTTTAAGATTCTGTGCTGGTGTGTGCCTTTAAAAGAAATTATGGGATAATCATCATTTTTTTTTTTTTTTAGAAGTCTAATATTCAGATACCCAAGAACTCTCCCTGGCTTCCAGTCCTGAGAATTTGGAGGGGGGTGGGGTTTGTGACGTGGTCCCGGCAGGCAGTGGCCGTCTGTCCATTCCTCCCCTGTGGGCCACCATGCTGTCCTGACGTGGCTGGGTTCCTGAGAGCGGAGTCTAGGTTGTCGGGGAGAGTCTGTGGACATGCACCTCTGTGAAATCTCCAGCATCTCCTTCTCAGGCATCCATTCCCACTGGGCAGAAAGTAGGAAAGGCCCATTATGATTTCTGACTGGCATTTCATTATTTGTACATTAACATTTGGTGTGGCGTGCGGTTAGAAACTCATGTCATTCGTGGCCCCAGAAAAAGGCCTCTAACTCTAAAACTTGAAACATTCTGCTCTTATAGGAGGTCCTTAGTTATACAGCGACGACACTCCTGAGGTCAAGGTATTTTTAACAATGTTTATTGAATCTGCTAATCTTGTTTCATCATTTTGTTACAGATTGATGTTCTCAAAGCAGATCTGGAGAGTGCAGAATGGAAAGTTTTAGAAAACCTTATTCTGGAAGATGTCCTGCAACAAATTGGACAGCTCACCTTTGCGATTCACCTCCACTGGCCCGGTTTCGAGGTCAGTGGCGGCGACAGCAGTGTCGTGCGATTCTGGTACAGCCTCCTCAAGGAGGTAGAACTAAAGGGCTTCAGGCTTTTTCATAGTTACAAAGATTTATCTAAACCCCAGCTGTTCCTGAAGAAGGACATTTTCAATGCAAGTAGCTGTTATACTCTGAGTTGGGTGAATACAAGATGGACCTAGGGTGCCAGACCTCATCAAGAGCTCCGGGACATAGCTGCAGAATGAGGCATGTCCGGCGTGCTAACGATTGGTGTCCTGTCCAGCCTCCTCCCACTAGCCTGTCAGCTGCTCTGGGCGGAGGTTGTGTGATTGCCTGTGGCAGGGACACACTCAACACCTGTGGATGGGATGGACACAGGAGTGCCACCGGGGTCCATCTCCATCTGTCCAAAGCCCAGGCCTTTCACCTGTTTGCCTCTGGCAGAGCAGGGATGCTTGTCCTTCTTCGTTGTAACTGGGAGGATAACTCCCCACTCATCTGTTTTCCCTAAAATCCACTATGTATCTAAAATCCGTGAATTCATCAACATGAAAAAGAAATTACATAAAATTTCCTTTTTTCCTGGGTTGATGAGATTCTTAAGTTTGTAGCTAACTGTTTAAAATAGGGCCTTTCCCTTGACTTTCACTCCCCCTCTTTCAAGGTTGTTCTTGTTTAGCTGGTCCACGACATTCTTTAGGACCTTGTAGATTTCAGCCATTTGTCCTCAGCCTTTGCGGAGGTCATGCTGTGGCTTTAGAAGCACCCCTGATTCTGGTTTCTGGGGACTCAGACACACCAAAGTCTGTCACTGAGTTTAAAAGACTAGACTGTCAAGAACTTGAACTCAGGATCTTTTCATACTCAGCCTTAAATCCCCTTCTGCTTCTACCAACTAAGCACAAAGCAGTATTTGGGTGTCTGTGCTATTGTCTCCACTGACTTCAAACCTGATTTCTCAACCACCCCCTTGCTTATGCTGTCAAATCTTTTTTTTTTTTTTTTTTTTTTAGCACATTATGTCAAAGATTAAGTGAGTTTTTCCTCTACTGCCAGTGGGCATTTGTCAGAAGACTGTGGCCTAAGAGCCCAAGTCTGTCTCTTTCCTGGGATGCTTACACTGGGTTTCAGTAACCCCAGTCCTTTCTATATTTTTAAAAATTAAACAGGAAATGTAGGTTCTCAGTAGATCAAGTGATCTCCATCATTTTTATTTACAGGATTAGACATTTACCCCCATGAATGATTTTCAAAAAGTCTACTTCAAACAAGTCAAGTAGTTAGCATAAAAATAAACCAAATTATTGCCTTATTATAAATTAAGTATATTTTCTGGCTTTTTTTTTTTTTTAACATCACAAGAGAGCAAGAAAACTATACACTCATTGTCCAAGAAACTTGGGGAGAGAGTAGAATGCTGGTTGCTACTAGACTTTATTCCTTCTCCCACCTTTGTACCGCCGTCTACCCCAGATGTTCCCTGGGTTGGCTTTTTGTTTCTTGCGGTGGTTTGAAAATACCATGCCCTCAAGTGAGAAACCAAAATATAGTAGAGTTAGATGATCTTACTGACTTCAGTTCAAAAGGGAACAAGACTTTCTGAATTTTTAGAAGTACAAATAAGCTTTTTATTTTAAAATGCACAGTACATTAGTAAAAGTCATTGAGATGGGAGCTTAAAATAGCAGCTAAGTTGCTCTCTTTGTCCATGGGCATCTCAAAAGCACAAAGGGTCCATGAAAAACTCTGAAATGCCTGGTGTCACAGCCCCTAAAACAAAGTTACCTTTAGTCTACTTCCTGCTTGGATTGTATTACAGATCCTCTCTTTTATTTTTTTAATTAAAATTTTATACAGTGAAGTCTATACAATAAACCTTTTTATACATTAAACCTTATGAGCCTTCTTCTACACCAGAGTATGAAGTGTGCTAATCTGATGTGTCCAGTCTGATCAGATTTTAGGTACGTACATGCCCATATTAAGATTTTTAATTCAGGGGATTGAAGATTGATGGACTCACTGAAAGCCCCCTTTGTACAGGGCAAGTCCCCATTTATTGCAGACTGGTGGTACAAACATAGACTTCATCACACAATATATATATATATATATATATATATATATATATCAAAAATCAAAAGCAGGAATGCTTGTATGGTAAAGAAAAAAAAAAACACTCAAAATAAATTGCAAACACACCCACTCACACCCACCTACAAGGCAGCTTGTTCAATAGTTTTTTGTACTTATTTTGTGCTTATTTCTAAGACTGTCCTTCATTCCCTTCATGGATAGTTTGGAATTTATGATGACTATCCTGACTGTTGCTATGGTTTCCCCTACCTCTGAAATTTATTATGCTTATTGTGTAGGCTGGGGTTTCTTAACCTCAGTACAGATTGCCATTTTGGGCTGGATTATTCCTTGTTGGGGGAGAGAGGGCTGTTCTGTGCCTTGTACAATGTTCGGCAGCATCCCTGGCCCTCCCCACGAGCTGCCAGGAGCTCCTCTCCCCCTCCCCTCTCAGTTGTAACAACCAGAGACGTCTGCAGACCATCCCCCCATGGAGAGCTACCGGTGTGGGCCACGAGCAAGGACCTGGGGTACCACAGCATGGCTGTTTGGGAAGATCCAAAAGGCAAAACAAGAGCCAGCACCACTGTGACCCCCACAAGAGCAGCACAAACAGAACCCAGAGAAGGGGCAGAGTCAAGAGCTGCTATGGAGAGCATCCTGTGTGCCCGGCACTGTGCACAGATGGTTCCCAGTTCTCCCAGCAGCCCTGCACAAAGGTGTAATTTTCCCCATTACGCAGGTGAGGAAACTCTGAGAGGGTTAGTAGCTTATGCAGATGCTGCCACTAGTAGATGGTACAGTAGGGATCCACTCTAGCTTTCAGATCCCTCTGCTGTGCAGCTTCCACAGTCTCTAACAGACATGAGATACCAGGCCCAAAGGACTTATTTTTATTTCCTTACTAATAAATTGGGGGGGGGGGGAGCTACAAATACACTAACACACTAACATCAGACCTGCCAATCGGTTAGAGTTTGGGACGTTTTGGTAGCATGCAAGTTAATAGTTTAAGCAATCTACTTAATTAAAATATGCCTGCCAAATGGAAACTTCCTGAAAGGATGGGGGTGCCCAGTGACTTCTCTGTCAATATTTCAGGTTGCCAGAAAAGCTCTTGCGAGGCCTGGAAGCAGCTCTCGGCCCTGGCTTGTCCCACTATGTGGCACTTTCCTCTTGGGTTTTAGAAAGGGCCCAGTCACTTGGAAATGCACTGTGTTTCCTGTGTTTTCAAGCCAGTTTTGACCTGCAGGTTCACGAGCCTCATCTTACCAGACCAATGCCCGTAAGCGAATCTGAAAATATAAATTTAATAATGTTCTTCAAATGATTTAAAAAAAACCTTATTTAGGTGAAAGACATAAAAGACCTATGTTAGAGATTCAGTAATCACCTTTTGGTGCAAACTCTTTCACAATTCGAGATTAAATTCAAAGGAAAGGAATTTCCCTTTCACCTTCTCTTAGAGTGATTGTATCTGATGCAGCTTTAACAGGTTATCATATAAATATTTGCAACTATTTGATGTGTTAAAATGAAGAAAGTCAGGGAGAAGTAAGCAAATATCTGTTAGAATTCACCCATCTATATTAGGGTAGAACAAAAGTAAATTCATGAGTTTACAGTGTTTAGTCCAAGTTAATTACTCATGTATGCCATCTCTGCCTTGGCTATATGATCTTAGATATAGTAAATACAGTATAAGATCTGTATCTCCCAAGTATTACATGTTTGGGTTTTGCAAAGCTTTGGTTAATACCAGGGAGCTTGCCTTATCATCACATTTTGTCAGATTAAAAGTGAAGCCCTCATTAAAACATTATTATTCTTGAAAACACAACAGTACCTCCAGGCTCCATTAATATAATTGTTCTTTTCAGCTGGAGATAAGTTTATGTTTGCCTTTGAAGCAATAACATAAATCTTTTTGTATTAGCCAACTGCTGCTTCTTTGTGAGTTCGAAACACATTTTAATTTTATGTAAAAATGTCTTTTTCTTATTGTAAGAGGTATTTGAACTTGACTTACCACATGAAATCATAACCCAAAGATTCAGTGTATTTTTAAGATTTTATTTATCCATTTGACAGAGATCCCAAGTAGGCAGAGAGGCAGGCAGAGAGAGAGGGGGGAAAGAGGCTCCCCGCTGAGCAGAGAACCTGATGCAGGGCTCGATCCTAGGACCCTGAGATCATGACCTGAGCCGAAGGCAGAGGCTTAACCCACTGAGCCACCCAGGCGCCCCTATCCAATGTATTCTTAAACTGCCTAAATTTAGAAGATACTGAAATTCTTTAAATAATTATGTTTCTGTCCTTAAGGAAAATAAATCAAGTGAGCTTAATGTCACATTTTAACACTATATGGAAAAATGCTAGTTTCATTAAAATTAATGCTTTGTGGGGCATCTGAGTGGCACAGTCAGTTGAGCATCCGACTGTTGGTTTCAGCGAGGGTTGTGATCTTAGGGTCATGGGATTAAACCCCGTGACAGACTCCCCACTCAGCACGGAGTCTGCTTGTGATCCTCTCTCCCTCTTCTCCACCCCACTGTGCATGTGTGTGTGTGTGTGCACACGCACGCACGCTCTCTCAAATAAATAAATCTTTGGGGGAAAAAACAGTAATTAATCCTTCTTAAAACAAGCAACATTCCCGTGGGCACACTGATGGGGCCCAACTCTAATGGAAGAGACGAAGAAAATGTTGTTCACTAGGTTCTGTTTTACTAAAGGATGAAACACAGTCTCAGTAGCTGAGTGTTTCTTTTGAACTACCTCACTTGGAGAGAGCAAGCCACAAAGATTATGCCACAAAGCTGACAGTTTAAAAATCCACAACTAAGTTGATTATGGGGAGGAGGCAGAACAGTAGGATGAAAGGAGAAAGATTGTGCTGCTGTCGCTGACTAGCTGTGTGGCATCGAGCAAATCATCACCTTTATTGGCCTATTTGCTTATCTGAGGTTGGAATATTTGATTTTTGAGGTTTCTTCCAGCTTGGAAGTCTCATTATTCTAAGATTTTTGTGATTAGAGAAGGCTCAGACAGTGGCAGGGTAATTTCTTGATTTGTGTGCTATGAAGAGAAGCCTTGGGATAAATTTAGAAGAATCCAAATGATGTGCTTATTCAGAAGAAAAGGCCCAGATAACAGAAGAATGAATTCGTGATGATGGCTCTCCAGTCAAATGAAGTGCCCTCAGGCCAAGTACCTCTTCGGATAATATGCTTAAACTCGCAGGGTTCTAAAAACTGGGGTGTTTCAGACTAGACTGGTTTATACATCTGTTTACAGAATATCCTAATGAAGTGGCACTATCTGAAGATACTAGATTAAGTGTGTGTATCTGCGGTGATCCTTCAGTATGTGCATGTGTGAACATGCATGCGTGCACCTGACACACACATAGGTACATTTATATGTGTGGCAGAACGCCCAAGAGGGAAGAATCTTCAGACATACAAAGCTCAGAGGGAGCCTAGACCCAGACAGGTAGAGCAGGAACCTACTCAGCAGGAGTCCTAAGGGGTTAGTGGACCAGCGGTGCTAGAGGCCTACAGCACTAGAGATAAGGCTGTGTCGGTGGAAAGGACTGGCACGGAGACACCTGCACAGTGGGCCCTGGGAGGGCTATACGACCTTAATGCAAGAGCTCTAAAAAAAAACTACCGCCCTCATCCTCATCCCCCAACACAAGAAAGCCTATCCTTGCTGCAGCTCTGGGAGGAACTACAAGTTTCCCATGAGAATTTGAAACCTCTGGTCTGCTTGAGGAGTTGAATTTATATTAATCTCATGGGGAGGAAAACCGTAAGCTGAGAAATGAAGATAAAAAACTGAGGGAGTGAAACATAAGGATGTATGGCAGAAATGAATGTAAAAGTATTACAGGTACTCTTCAACTTAGGCTACAAAGATTTCT